TTTTTGAAACACCCCATTCCTCCAATTGCACTAGATCACATGTTATTCTATATAAGTCAAAACTATGTAAGTGAACATCTGGCAGCTTTTTTTTTACTATTTATTTTTTAATCCTCACCTGAGGACATGGGGGGAGAGAGAGAGAGAGAGAGAGAGAGAGAGAGAGAGAGAGAGAGAGAGAGAGAGAAACATCGATCAGTTGTCTCCTATATACCCTCCAACTGGGGATCAAACCCACAACCCAGGTATGTGCCCTGACCGGGAATCGAACCCCCAACCTTTTGGTGTATGGGATGATGCTCCAACCAACTGAGCCTCCTGGCCAGGGCATGGCAGCTTTTATTGTCAAAGTTTTGAATGTTGAATCTACTTTGAAACTTAATCAGGTATCTATATCAGGCAGATAATCCACATATTAGAATTACAAATTTTTATTCAATACAGGGTAGAGTGAAATGCTTTCAGTTTAGAAAAAAGGTACTACGAAAACAAGATATCCTACAGGCTTCCTATGAGTCAGGATTCTAACTCGGTACTATTTAGGCAACAAAATTTCTCTTTTTTTAACATTTTATAAATCTAATGGGAGAAAAATGATATTAACAGCCACAATATGCACACAGTATGCATTTGACCCATTCTCTTTGTACTGTCCAGTACTCTTTGCAATTTCTCTTTAATCCTTGTTGAAAAATTTTGAGTGTTATCATAAGATCATGCTATTTGACAGAAATCCTATGGAATAAGATTTTAAAAGAAGCCACTTAGATACCCAAATTCCCTACTGTTGTAGGAAAATCCATAGGCAACAAAATATCAATCCCTAGCAGAACTAAGAGCAAAACTCAGAGTAATGTAAAGTCTTTCAAATCTCAGAGGTATTCAGCTTTTCATTCTGTATTATAATCTCTTCACCAGTTATCAGAGAAGATTGACTGCCCCATTTTTCCTTTTTAATCTGGTTTACATGTGCTCAGAAACAAATAAAGTAACACAAAGGAATTTTCCAATAACATATGACTAATGAATTAGAAAGTGCTATTTGGTGCCTTGTGAACATTTTAAAATACTGTAAGCCTTTTTCCTCATTAAGATATTCCCAAAATCCAACCAAAAAAAAAAAAAGTCACTGCAGAAGCATGAAATATGATAACTAATAAGAACAATTATAATCATTTTCTTTAGAATACAGCAACCTTGAGTGACACATGTAAATAGCTCCAATATATTCATTTAATATTACTGATAATTAACGTGAGCACTAAATTAGAATTGCCTTTATCGGCCAGAGTTGTAAAGCTCTGCAACAGCCTAGACTAGAGATTACTGGAGGAGCTGATACCTGGGTGAAGACTGTGCCCAGCCTGCTGATGATAAAGAAGTGTTGGGAGTTTTAATTCCATAAATAGAACGTTTTTAAGCATCGGACTTCATCAAAATTTAGCTGAATTAATTAGTAAATGTTTGCATAAAACCTTTTATTCTATGCAGGAGATAAATACTTTTTCTCATTTGCATCTGTGGGAATATAGAATTGCCCTAATTTTGAAACTCAAGCCCTGCAAAAATGCATTGGGAGTTATTTTTGTAGCAATTTTACCCAGTTATATAAATTGGTAATCTGTTCAGTATACTTTGCCCTTTTTCCTATAGATTATCAGAAAAATAAAGATTTTTAGCTTAGCAAAAGGTGCTAAACACACACACGTTATCTCATAACTCTCTTTGAAAACCTCTCTTATACTCAATATGAATTTCAGAACAATTCTGAAATTAAGTAAAATAGGTGGAAATTAACTGACGCTGTGACATATCTAAAAGATGTATCTAAAGTTGTATTTTATACAACATAAACTGATAAAAATGGCAGACCTGGACAGTATTAGAATATATTACTTTCAATAGGTGCCCAATAACTGCTTGTTGAATAAAGCAAGTCCAATGGAATTTTTTTAAAAGTCACCTGAATGGACAGAACCTAGACACAGAACCTAGACACAGAACCTATACAGAACCTAGAGACAGAAGAACTTCGCTGGAGAGAACATGGCAAAAGATCCTGGACAGAAACTGGCTACAGAACCTAGAGACAGAACCTAGCTGAAGAACCTAGAGACAGAACCTGGCTACAGAACCTGGATAGAACATGGCAAGAGAACCTGACTAGAACCTGGTGATTGAACCTGGCTGGAGAACCTAGAGACAGAACCTGGCTGGAGAACCTAGCGAGGGAACATGGCTACAGAACCTGGCTGGAGAACCTGGAGAACCTGGCTGGAGAACCTAGCAAGAGAACATGGACACAGAACCTGGCTGGAGATCCTAACCAGAACTTCGCTGGAGATCCAGACCAGAACTTGGCTAGAGATCCTGGCTAAGCTGCTGATCAACTGAACGCTGTCTCCGTGTCATTCCTTCTTCGCCGACTCCGTCCACACCTTTGGGGACTCCTGGACCTGCTGGGGTTGGACCCCAGCATCTGGTGCCCGAACAGGGACCCCTAGGTGCGCCCCGCACTCGGGACGGATAGGACTCCACCGTAGGAAGAGGGTGGATAGTCTTCGCCGACTCCGTCCACACCTTTGGGAACCCCTGGAACAGGATTCCCCTAGGTAAGCCCCCCTCCCCCCCCATTGAGAACCCCACACTCGGGACAGATAGGACTCCACCAGGGTACTGCAGACCCCCCTATAGAGGATAAGTAGGGGAAGAAGGTGGATAGTACAGAACTTAGATTGAGAAGATGTGCAATACTGAGTCCAAAGAAAGAAGACTCTGTATTGATTCTTAGATTGAGAAGATGTGCCATACTGAGTCCAAAGAAAGAAGACTCTGTATTGATCTTTTAGCACATATGCTTGCTAGCAGAGGAATTAAGGTTACTCCCAGTCAGACAGAACGTTTTATACAAGAAGTATGTCCATGCTTTTCTGAGGAAGGAAAGGTAAATCTAAAGGCATGGGAGGAGGTAGGCCCAAGGAGCCTTATCCTTAACCCCACTGCAGCCTTTCCACCCCGGGAAAGTGCAGGATTGGCAAGCTCTCCCTGGGGTGATAGATCAGGACTCAGGTAATAGCGGAAAGCGCCAATCCTACTCTTAAAATGGATACAAGAGAGCATTTGGGGTTTTTCTTTTTAATGCCTGCTTTTAAAAATTAAAAAAGGGGGAATTTGCCGGGAGCCGGTCCATCCTTGCTGTTTCAAGGGACCTGGCATATATGGCATACTGTTCTTAATATGTTTGCTCACCTTCTTGGCACTATGTGTTTTAACCAAGGTCACCTCTCTGAGAAAGGTTGTTTCCCCAGGTAGGGATTTTCCCCTGAAGTTAGGGAGGGAATAAAAGCCCTTAACTAAGTGCCAGGTGGCTAATTAATCACTTTAACTATGAACAATCATGCTTAAGCTACATAATCTTTACTCCCTGGAATGGAGATAAGAAATGCCCTAACCTTTGGAATAGAGATTGATAGGATTGGAATCAACTGGTATAAATACAGGTGTAACAAGACAACTAGACACAGAACCTAGACACAGAACCTAGAGACAGAACATGGCAAAAGATCCTGGACAGAAACTGGCCACAGAACCTAGAGACAGAACCTAGCAAGAGAACCTGGCTGAAGAACCTAGAGACAGAACGTGGCTACAGAACCTGGATAGAACATGGCAAGAGAACCTGACTAAAACCTGGTGACTGAACCTGGCTGGAGAACCTGAACAGAACCTGGCTGGAGAACCTAGCGAGGGAACATGGCTACAGAACCTGGCTGGAGAACCTGGAGAACCTGGCTAGAGAACCTAGACACAGAACTTGGCTGGAGATCCAGATCAGAACTTGGCTGGAGATCCTGGCTAGAGATCCTGGCTAGGCTGCTGATCAACTGAACGCTGTCTCCGTGTCATTCCTTCTTCGCCGACTCCGTCCACACCTTTGGGGACCCCTGGACCTGCTGGGGTTGGACCCCAGCACCCATTCATCAGTTGATGAGTATTACAGTCGTTTCCGGTTTGAGGCTCTTATGAATAACGGCGCTGTGAACATTGTGTACAAGATTTTGTGTGAACATGTTTCCATTTCTTTTTGATATGTACCTAGAAGTGGAACTTCTGGGCCATCAGGTGACTCTGGTTTTCCAACGTGGCCCTGCTATTTTACATTTCGCCAGCAATGTACGGAGGGGTCCAATTTTTAAGCATTCTCATGAATGTTTTATTTTCTTTTATTTTTTTAATCTTTAATTTCTTTATTGGTTAAGGTATTAAAAATGTGTCCTCATCCCCCCAGTAACCCCCTACCTCCTCCCAACCCCCCCCCCCCCCCCACTCATGTTCTCATCCCTCTGTTGTCCATGTCCATTGGTTTGGCTTATATGCATGCATACAAGTCCTTTGATTGATCTCTTCCCCTTACCCCAACTCTCCCCTACATTCCCTTCCCTCTGGGGACTGATAGTCTGATCACTGTTTCTCTGTCTTTGGATCTGTCCCTGTTCATCAGTCTATGTTGTTCTGTATATTCCACAAATGAGTGAGATCATGTGGTATTTATCTTTCTCTGACTGGCTTATTTCACTTAGCATAAAGCTCTCCAGTTCCATCCATGCTGTTGCAAATATCAAGAGCTCCTTCTTTTTTACCACAGTGTAGTACAGTATTCCATTGTGTAGATATATCTGAGTTTTGTGGGTTTTTTTTTTACTGCATTTCTGTGAAATGCCCCTCCCCCCCGCCCCCCAAAGCATATCCCTGGAGGTATATCCCTAACAGAAAGGAGATTAGTGACTGCCTGGGGCTAGGGCGGGAGGACAGGGAGGGGGCACTGGGAAAGGGAGGTGACTGTTAATAGGTATGGGATTAAAGCCCTACAATTGGCTCCTCTCTGAGGGGGCGTGGCTAGGCCCTGGAGGGCGTGGCTGGACTTTAGGGCGGACCTAGCCAGCTTAAAACCCCGCTGAGGCAGGGTGACCCACACTGTGGTGGCTGTTAAGCAAGGAGGCATGGAGGAGTGCGCTTGCCTCTGCGGCTTGGGCTCTTCGCGGGGATGTCGGTGTCCTCAGGAGCGCCAGCGCCCAGCTGAGAAGGCAGCGGCCGAGGGCAAGCCGGCTTCGGCAGAAAAGCACCTCGAGGCCGGCGCAGCAGCGCGGTGCTGGGCGGGGAGTGGAGGAATCGCGAGCCCCAGGCCGCCCCCGCACTGCTCGCTGCAGGACCTGCCGGTGGAGATGCTGGTGGAGATCTTCGCCTTGCTCCCCGGCACCGACCTGCCCAGCCTGGCCCTGGCCTGCACCCAATTCCGCCACATCCTGCACATCGACAGCATCTGGAGACAGCGCTGCCGGGAGGAGTTTGGCGTTTGGGAAAACTCGCAGAATCTGCAGAGGGTAGGTACGTCTTACCGAGAAGTCTATGCGAAGCTGCTCCACCCATACAGACACATTTTGGGATTGTGGCAGCTAGATACTAAGGGCTTTAAAACACTGCTGTATGTAGCGGTGGACGGCTTACGCATTACTGGTTGGACGTACGTGCCTTGTCTTAACACCCACGTGGATGGTCCAATGCAATTCAAGCCCGCGTTCCGAATCCGCCTGACGGAGAGGAAATCAGCCGCGGTGGAGTGCATGGAAGGCCGCCACCGCAGGCCCCACAGCCGCCACCTGCAGATTCAGAAGGACAGGCTCACCAGCCAGTGCAAGAAGACAGACCACCGAAGGGATTCACCGACACGGCTTCGGGAGGAATTCGGGTCGGTGCTGTTGTTGGATGACACACTGCGGTATGACCGCCTGGCCTACCGCCGCCTCTACCTCCCGCCCAGCCACCCGGACGACCTCATCAGGCCAGGCCTCTTCCAAGGCAAATACGATCGCTGCGGCCTATCGATTGTCATGCTCAGATTCCATGGGAAATATGCCAGGGTCACCAATATCTCGGGACACCACAACGACATAGAGATCCAGCTCAAGCACCGCATCCAGCTGCGAGATGGCGAGATCTTCCGCGACTTCAACGAGCTCTCCCGCGTGGTCCAGGAGATTCACGAGCAGGTGCTCCGGGAGCAGGAGCAGCAGCAAGAAGACGGGACTGAGGAAAGCGAGAGCCATGGCTGGCAGAGCCCTGCCCAGCCCAGCATCGGGGAGTCCGGGGCTGCAGCTGCAGAGGAGCAGCCTGTCCCGTTTGTTCTGCCTGTGGGCGTGAGCTCAAGGGACCAGAACTACCCCCGGACCTGCAGGATGTGTTTCTATGGCGTGGACACTGGTACCGTAGATGGCTCAGTCTGGCGCGATCCTGGAGTCTTCATCCTGTTCGATGAGAACCACTTGGGGTTCATCCATCTGGTGTATAAAACGTTCATCCTGTTCGGCAGAGTCCAGAACACCTTCCAGAATGTCGAGGCACCATCCCCGCAGGCCTTCCTGGAGATGCGCAAGAACATTCAGCAGGTTTCCCACCGTGGTTTGTTTTTTTAATCCTCACCCGAGGATATTTGATGTTTAGAGAGAGTGGGAGAGAGAGGGAAAGAAAGAAATAATCGATGTGAGAGAAACACATCAGTTGGTTGCCTCCTGCCCAAGCCCGGAACAGGGCCAGGCTGGGTAGGGGCCAGCAATTGAGGTAGAAATAAACCTTAGACCAGTGGTCTCAACCTTCCTAATGCTGCGACCCTTTAATACAGTCCCTCATGTTGTGGTGACCCCCAATTTCATTGTTACAAATTGAACATAATTAAAGATAGTGATTAATCACAAAAAAATAAAGACATCTTAGTTAAAAAAAAAAAAAAAAAGTCACCTGAATGAAGAGATAAGATTAAGAGTTCTGCATAGACACCACTTATTATTTCTTTGGGTAAACTAATGTTTTAGAAGTTTGCAATTTTAATATCATGAAAACCCAAATACTTCTTTTCCTTCCTCTGACACTGCCTTAATTTAGGCCATCATCACCTCCCTCCTCAGTGCCTGAAACCACCTAATTGGGCTTCCAGTCCCATTTCTTTCTTCCTACTTCCTCCTTCCTGCTCTCACTGATTTCCATTTTATAACCCGAGTGGCATTTCTAAAACCTTTCCATATCTCCCCATTCCCTCTGGATAAAGCCCAAAGCATTCAAGACACTTCAGGGTGTACCCATAGCCAATCTCTGTAGCCTCTTTCATCTCCACAATTCAACCTCTGGCACTTGGTGCTCCAGCCATAGTATTCAGTTCTGTGCAGGTTTTCTACATGCCATGTTCTCACCCCAGGACCTTTGTACATGCTGTTCTTACTGTTGGAAAGCTTTACACCCTCCCCACTCTTGTCTTTTCATCCTTTTATCTGGCTCACCTCTACTTATTTTTAAGGTTTTAGTTGAGACATTATCTTCTCCATAAGCCTTCCCTGACAGCCCCTCCACCTTCCTCAAGCCTAGATTAGTGTTGTGTCACTCTGTGCCAGCCGTTGGCAAACTACGGCCCGCGGGCCGGATCCGGCCCGTTTGAAATGAATAAAACTAAAAAAAAAAAAAAAAAAAAAAAAAAGACTGTACCCTTTTATGTAATGATGTTTACTTTGAATTTATATTAGCTCACACAAACACTCCATCCATGCTTTTGTTCCGGCCCTCCGGTCCAGTTTAAGAACCCATTGTGGCCCTCGAGTCAAAAAGTTTGCCCACCCCTGCTCTGTGCTTTCATTTAGCTAATGACTCAAAATAGTGGCTTGTTTTTACCTCTTAATAAATTCCTTGAGCCCCGACACCTAGAGTGATGTTCAGCACATAGCAGACATTCAATTAATATTCTGTAAATAAATTAGGAAAACATTCCAAAACTGAGTAATCTACTTTGATGAGCTTGATCTAATAATAGTTAACATTATAAATGATAATACGGGACGGGAGGGGGCGGAAGGGAGTGTACCAAAAGTTAAGAGGCCCGAATCACCACCCTAGCTCTCTAATTATCTCTAAATAATTTCTCTGCACCTCAATGTAATTTGCAAAATAGGTATAATACCTACCCTTCTATGTCACAATGTTATTAAAAAGGCTCAGGTAAGTGAAAGCATTTTGGAAAATATAAAGCACTAGTCATGCAAGATATTATTATCATCATCATTATCACTCAACGCCTAAATTCACTTTGCCACATTCCTGCTCAAAAGCCCCCAGTCTCTCCACTAGCTCACTCCCCCCACCACCACTTTCAACAGTGTGACCTGGAGATCAATCCCATTGTCATTTCTGTGTTTTGGTTGGGTTTTTCTGCCTGGCAGCCTCTCTGGTTTTGCTCCAGGGGAGCTTCTCTTCCCTCAGTCTTGGACCGCGTGCTCTGGGTGAAGCTCACTCTGCTCCCAGGAACCCAAATATGAAGGCCATGACTCTAACGAGGCCAATGAGAACCCTGAGTTCTCGTAGCCAATGGATGTGATCTGTGTGCCTCCCTAAGCCGTGACTAAGCCAGTCCACTCAGGGTGAAGCTCAGAACCTGGGCAGGGCGTGGGTCAGCCAGGCAGCAAACAGCCCCAGGGGTTGCTGGCAGTCATCTTGCAACAGCAAGGGAAGCCTCCTAGGGTCAGCAATCAGAGCCATGACAATATCTGGTCCTTGGGGGCATTCTCAGCTGCTGGTTCAGGCCTCACCTGACACTAGCACTGCCCAGTATTGATGATAATTAGGAAGATGCATTTCTGCATCTTGACACTGAATGGGACGTCTCTGAGTTTCTCCTAGAAAATGGGTTTTCAAAAGTCCTTTACTTCCTTATAATAAGGCTGTGGAAAAGAAGTAAAATTTAAATCCATATTCAACCAATGCTTACAGAGCAATGAGGTCAAGTTTATGCAAACAGTGGTGAGATCTTTATGAGTAAAGGGTTTTATTAATTCAAAGTATTATCGTAAGTAGAATTACCATCATTGATTTGATTACTCACCTTCTAGTTCCACTGCAGGTCTCCAATGTCATTAAAATATGAGGTTAATGCATTGGAAAATTGTTTATTTTCTATAAAATCAGTATCCAAGGGGGAAAAATAAAGTCCATGTGATCTAGGAAAAGCAACCTTAAGGAGCATTTTATTGTTACATTTCCAGCCTGACTTTTCTCTCTAAACCCTTCAAAAATGTTTTTGGCTTTATACTTTTGGTAAGATCCAGGCTAAAGTAAGCTTGTCAGGATTGCTTTCTTCAGAAGTAAGCAGTTAGATCAGGAAATAAACCACAAAAATTCCTTAATTGCTAGTCATCTAAGTAAGGTCTTATATTTTGGCTGAAAAAATAAACCAAAGGAAAGAAATACCTAGCAATCTTTTTCTAAGTGTGTTTTTCTTTTTTTCCACACAAGCTAAGAAAAACACCCTAGCCAGCAAAGGGGTCAAAAGATAGCTCTTCATACCTGCCTTTCTAGATAGAATTAGCCATTTAAGCCTTGTCCACATTAGCATTAAGCTAACAAGGCTGGAGAGTGACTTAACTCATATCACTTTGTCAATGTGTTCATTTAATATTAATCTCCTGTGTTTTTAGGAATTGGTCTGAACAAAACTATATTGGAATTGCTGCCTCCAAAAAGGCTAAACCATGTCTCAGGAGCATCTTAAACTATTTATTATACTAATCTAGTATTATTTAAATAATATAGTATTTATTTAAAACTTATAATAAATTTGTTTATAATGAATTCGCATTTACAGAATGTAGATTTAGTAGTATTAGATGGTTCACTGTGGGCCATCTCTCCTGTGTGTTCTTGCTATGGACACAGCTGTCTAGTTCCCAGTCTTACACAGGAAAAATCTGTTAGAGAATTTCACATAAGTAGTTTGTGTTTCATGGATTCATGTTTCAGACACAATTATCAATAGTATTAATCTATTAACAAATAGAGACCAAAAATGATAATGAAGTTCCAATTTATGACTTCCTACCTGCCAGGAACTATGTTGGAAGGTAAAAATATATTTTCTATTCCTCATAACCACTCTGCAAGATAAGTTTTATTAAACTGATTTGAAGAAAAAGAAATTGAGGATTGGAGAGGTTAAGGGATTTTCCAAAGTGTTAAGGTTTGAATGAGAACATCTTTCACAGCAAGAATAATATAGCCACACAGCTGTCCCTTCTGGTTGAGCCAACACACAGAATTTCGCTTTTCTGCTTGCCAGGGCTCGTTTCTTTGTTCTCCTTGTATAATATGTATAAGAATATGCATGTAGTTGAGTGAAAAATTAGCATAGTAACTCAATATTGGTAGAGAATTTGAAATTGGCCTAGAATTTCAAGCCAACTTTCAGGGAATCATTGATGAACCTGGGACTTAAGATAAAGCTTCCAGAATAAAAGGCACCTCCCTTTGCTAGGTTCCCAGCTGCAAAGGTGAAGTTTGAGTGGCCCAAGAAAGCCATGGGAATCATCTGGTCCACACAGCTGCTCCCCCGAGATGCAGCACATCACCTAGTGACAGGTATTCTATGACAGCCACTGGTGACTGGGATTGGACAGGATTTCTGTCTACCCTGCATGAATTTTGGGTTTTGTGCACAATCATCTTGCTCATAATCCAACCCAAGTTATTGTAGCATTAGGGATGGTCAAGGCCTTTGACTTTCTTGTCCACTGAAGGTCTGCTGCTGGGGGAACACGCTAGGAGGCACATAAAGGCAACAATTCAACATCATCATCTCCAGCTTAGTACTGACTGCTCTAATGGGCAGCATGGCCTGGGAAACTTTTGAAGGGGTAGGATGCCAGCATCTTTCAGCTGCTTTCCTTTTTGCTGGAAATTCTCAGGGACAGAGCATTTGCCCTTCTGTGTGACCATGCTGCTGTCACTCTGCCAGTCGTCAATAGACAACCATCAGCCACCTCCAGGGAAAGCCTTTTCTGAGAAAAATCTCTTCCAGTTTTCTCACCTCTGTTTCAGTGCTGGGCAAGATTTTACTGCAAATATGTGGTAAGCATTCCTAACAAAGATAGCTTCCCGTATGAATAATATCTCCAACTCACAGCAAGACAGAGTTTTTTCATGGCCTTCCTACTAGGACACTTGGTGTTGGCGCTCTGGCACTTATTGATAAAGTATGCCTTGTGAATAAACCATCCTATAAATAAATATTATGCAATCTGCTAACAGAGAGACCTAAGGAGATGAGTTTATTTTCTAAAACTTTTCAGTCAAGTTAATGGAAAAGTTGAAAATCACAAACCCTCCGTTGTCAGTTAATTTAAACTGTGATAGGATTGCGGCATGCTGCAAGTACGAGGAATCTCAGGGTCTCGCAGTCATCAGCCTGGACATCATGCCCCAAAGAGGATGAGGTGGCCTTCTATGCCCAACTCGAAGTGGAGCAGGAGAAAGAGAACCCTAAGTCCTTGGCAGAGCCCTTTACCCACCAGTCAGAACTCCTCTGCTTTTATATGTTGTGATTCTGCATTGCATTTACTGGCCTAAACAGGCTTTGCTGCCTCCTAAGAAAGACTTAGAATTA